TTTGGTACAACATAACCTTAGAGGGATTAATGCTGATACTAGCACTTACATTTGTTGTTTATAATCCTAAATATAATTGTTAACTAGGCTTAACAACTTTTTAACTTTACTTTTTAACATTTCAATTAGCTTTTTATCTTTTTTTCTTGACCTGTTAACTTTAATATACATTTATATATATTATTCAAGGGCTCATCTAATTGGTAAAATGCCAAAGTAAGATGTACAGCCATGTAGCAGCATCTTCACTGAATGGCTGGATATAGATCTTGTCCTTATAGACTTCACTGAGGGACGGGTTTGTCTTGTGATCAAAAATGGTTATTTTCCCTATAATGGGTTAAAAAAATAAGTGTCTTTGTCCTTATATTTGAGTGGGTAAATGAGATGATCTGCCAATGAGAGAGTATTATTACCCTGAAAACAAGATTATTTGATATTATGCACTTCAAATAAGACGTTGCAGTTGTTAATTTCTTATTGTAGATGTACTTACCTGCTGAATTCAAGAAAAATAAGAAAATACTTTTTTGCAGTGAGCTCAAGGACAAAAACAAAAAACAAAACTATCACTAATCTGAACTAAAATAGATAAGAACTAATGATACAACAATATGTTAATATACCACTGCTTATACTAATAATTAGGGATGGGGATCGTTAATATTTATTGATATCAATACCTTTATCAATACTCCTTATCGATCCGAGTCTTTATCGATACCACTATCGATACTTTTCTGTTATTTGGTGGAAAGACGATGCGACAATATGTTTTAACAGAACTGGTATTGCTTCTATTGCTTAACAAGTGAGCTTAACAAAAACGTTTCTAGCCTTCAATAAACATGGCTAATATAATAGGCCACTTCGAAATGACATAAAACTAACTAGAATATATTTTCACAATTGTTGGTTAATGTATTGTCTACTGTCACTTTTCATCATGTTTTTAGTGATTAGGAAAATATTTAACAAATAAATAATTGTATTTTAAATTAAATTAAATTTTTAATAAATGTTGGCATCAGTAGTTCAATTATATATAGAGCAATATACAACTGTATTACTCATGTTTCTCGCCAAAAACAAAATTTCCCGTTTTCTTTACGTTACACTTGAACGCATCATGATAACCTAATTGTCGTTTTACTGAGCCAATCTGAACACATCATCACGCAGCACGTCTGAAACTTTATTTACTTTTCAAGCTAACTAGCTTGTATGCTGGCGATTATAACACGGATTTCACAATTACTATTTTTAACTGACCGGACAAGCTACAAAGTCTGTGTGCGCGCTTACCAGTGGTACTCTGAGTGGATGATGAAGACGGGCCCGACTGTGGTGCGGCGGCAGCCGCAGGAGGAGGAGGAGTCTTTTCCGTTCAGCCATTCTCGAGTCGCGAGCAAAGTTAACTGCCAGACTTCACTTGTTTTACTTTTAATATCTGTTTGCTTACAATTTCATTCCAAAACATTGGTGGTCATGCTGCAGTTATTGGATTGATTAGATTTAAATGCTGTGACGCGACTCGAGGGACACACAATTATGTCACAGGACCTCCGGGAGAAAAAAAAAAAAAACGACCAGACTCGATAGTGGTATCGATAAGCCCAAACGTTATTGATTTTCAGGTTTTGAAAAAAGTGGAACCGGGCCCTTGATGGAACCGGGTTTCGATCCCCATCCCTACTAATAATTATAACAATACTATAACTAATACACAGCAAAGATTTGGGTGTTAAAAATTCAGCATCTACTTATTTTACTCTATATCGAGTATTTACAACTATACTGAGTGTATGTGCAGTGTAACATTTACTCTATGTAGTGTCGTTTACCTGCCACTCTCTGAGAGTTCTTCCTGATTTTGACTCTAAAATGAGTAAAATTGGCGTGCAGGTGGTGCAATGGTTAACGTTCATGACCCATGTATGGAGGCCTTAGCCCTCGACGCAGCTGACTCGGGTGCGAATCCGACCTGTGGTCCTTTCCTGCATGTCTCTCCCCCTCTCTCATACCCCCTTTCCTGTCAGCCTGCTGTTAAAAAAAACAAGCCACTAATCCCATAAAAACAAAAAAAAGAAAACAAAAAAAAGAGTTAAATTAATTCTGAAAGGTTGACACTGGCTATAGAGTAATTTGGAGGGGACCAAATATTATCTGAAATGTTCAACTCTGTAGGTGTTAAAGTAATACTTTATTTATTTATTGTGTACCATTACTACTACTTTATAATAATGATAATGGAATGGCTACAACTACAAAACACGGAATACTACAATCTATTTGCATCACTAATACAACCATCATTCTTTATGCTGGTGTGAACCAGTCTTTGCTCTCTCGCCTGCAGCTGGTGCAAAATCCAGCTGCTTGTCTTTTAATTGGTGTTCCAAAATATGAGCGCCTGACTCCTGTCCTGGTCTCACTCCATTGGCTGCCTCTGCATCATAGAGTCATGATTGTCTTTCTTTTTAAGTGTTTTGTTTTAAGTCTTATCTCTCTGAGCTTCTTCAACTCTACTTGCCTCCTCAGTCCCTCAGGTCAGCAGAGCAGCAGCTCCTACAGGTAAGGTTTAAGAGTAGGGTCAGAGGGGCAAAAACTTTCACTATTGCTGCTCCTCTTTTAGAGAATAACCTCCAGATGCACATTAGGGAGGTTCTGGGGTTGGAGCTGGGCCTTCTGAATTCACATCTGAGAGCGCTAGCCAGCTACTGTCACGGTAGGCTGGAAAGTTCTGCTCTGACCTCCTTGAAGGCAAAAAGGCCACTCATGGCACACTGGTGGGCCTGTTGCTTTGTGGCCACCAGGCCATGGTCGCAGCTCAGGGCAGTAGCGCTCATCAGTGTCCCATGGTTGGCTGTACAGTTGCCTTTGTGGCAAAGGTGTGTCATAGCAGATTGTGCTTCGTGTTTGATCGAACCTGCTTGTTGCTCCATAACTAGGAATTGGCATGTCCTGCATCCTTTGTGGTCTGAAACTGCTCTGCTGGGAGGAACTACACACTACACTACCGAACCTTCCCTGCTTCCTCACGTTAGCTCTCAGCCCTGTGGCTGCCAGAGGAGGACCTCCCCTGGTACCCTTTATATCAACCCTATCGAAAGCAGGGGTGGGTTCACTTTCTTCTCTCTTTTGTGATCCTTCTGCTCCTTCTGGTCCTTCTTCTGACCCTTTGTCTGATCCTTCGCTTGACCCTTCGTCTGACTCACTTTCTCATTTCAAGAAGGGAACATTTTCTGTCTCCTCAAGGAGTTTTCTATAAAATTAGCCATAAAGAACCATTTATCTACCATTCAATGTATATATTACAGAACTGTAACCAATTTAGTAATGTTGCACCGATACCGATAGCAGTATTGGGCAGGGCCCTGATTCACAACTAAAATGATGGTATCGGTATGGGGAAGTACCAACAAATAGGACACCGATACCATTTTGAGAGCCAAAAGTCTATTCCTTTATTGTCACCCATTCCAGGTAGCCAATAAAAAGTTCTACTGGATTCACTTTGTATTAGTCATTTTCCTGCTTCACTAAGGTAGGCAGCAGCTTGACAAAGCCATGATGCAATTATTGTACATCCAAGTAGTATGCAGTTCTTCATACATATACACACACATCAATTTCAAACAGATGGTATTGGTATTGGTATCATTATCGGGGCCAAAAAATGGCATCTACAATTTAGTCAACACACATGTATAAATATGAGTAGATTTATTAACGAGGGCTTGTATGAAAATCTAGTCTCTCTTCAATGATTTATGTGGTAACTATGGACGTTCATTTTTTCTTCATTTTTCTGTTGGTACAGTGTGTACAAACTGACCCTAAACTGGTTTTGGCACCTGTCAATTTTTAGGCCCCCCCTCGGTTCAAACTGGTCCCTGCCTGGCTTCACCCATGAACATTGCTGTGACCTGTTTTATTTAGTTTAACGAGCTTTAGTTTATCATTATTATGCTGAATGTTATTTTTTATTGCATACTCATTCTATTCAACACTTTGTTTTCAGCTGTTTTAACCCACTTCACTCATAAAGTTGATGACAATGATCACTACTACCACTATTACCAATAAGAACATTAATATGACTTTATCAGTTTACTGTCACTAGTAGTACAACTATTAGTGTTGTAGTAATGCTACCTCTAATAATAATTGTGTTTTTTAAAACATGAATGAAAAAGTAAAACAAAGTGTTGTAAAAAAAGGTAACTAATTATGTTTCTATGGCAACAGTAATATTAATGATAATGACAATGATAATTATCTTCTTGTATAAGAAAGTGGTGCTCTCTCTTCCACCAATGCTCCAGTTTACAGCTTCATTTAAAGGAGAAGAACACCCACAGCTGTGCTAGTGAGTTTTTCCTTACACTATTCCCTGAACCAGTGCCTTGAGACACCCTGTGGCGGTGCAGCTGAGCACTGCCCAAAGTATTCCCAAAATGCTGCTTTTCCCACAGTGTGGCCCTCTGGAATAACACACTGCACAGGGGAGGAGGCGCTCTCATCAGGGCCAAACTACCAAGCTGCATTCTTCCTGTTTCTGACAGCTGAGAGCGTGCTGCGCTATCTCTGTCCAACACACACACACACACACACACACACTTAGTGGCAAGCACAGGAAGGGCTGACAGCAATCTGCAATCAGCACAGAGAGAAACAAAATGAGAAACACTGCAGCTTCTTCTGAGTTTTCACTAATTATTCAGAAAAGTTCAATATTAGGGAGGAAAAACAGACACAGTTACATATGGTGAGTGAAAGCAAATGAGCTTGAAAGGGGAGAAAATAAATAAATAGAGAAAAATAAGCAAAGGAGGAGTAATGTTAACCTAGGCGACAAAGGGGTGGGAAAGAAAAAAACAAAGAGAAGAGGAAGCAGAGCCATAACAGCAAATGGGAGGAGCTGAAGCCTGGAGTCATATGGAGAGGAGGAGGAAGAGGAGGGGAGGAAAAATGACATCAAGTGCAGGAGGGAAGAGAGAAAGTGCAGTTATTCAGAAAGGAGAAGGAGGAGTAGCAGAGTTTCTCTCCTCTGCACATGATTTCTACACCTGAGCCTCCAACACACCCCCATATACACACACACACACACACAGGCTAATGATACTGCTGAATGAACCGGCTGTATTCACCTCCACTCCAGCTGTGGACATATGAGATTCGCTCCTGCAGACAGACATGCAGTTCTACTATGTGGTGAGTAAACTCTCCTGAATCCTTCCTTGTGTTTGACAGCAGGGATGGCACCTCTGGGAATCTCTAAAAGGGACAATTTCAAGGGTTTACGGAAAAATATTAAAACAAAGTTAAAAGGTGAGAGATGACCTCATTTGATTCTCTGTACTGACTACAGCTCTAGTTGATGATCCTGAGATGTCTAAAGAGGAAATCCTTCATAAACTAGCAGCATATTCTACGCTTTAGACATTTTTGTGTTTGGGACACAAAGAACAAATGGTGTCGGTGACAGAGTCAACTGCAGACAAGAACATGCATGACTTCTTCTTACACATTTAAGCCAAAATGGAGAAGTGGTTCCTCCTCATTTGTTCTGGTGCAATGATTGAGTGGATTGCCTTTAAACTTGGGATTCTGCTCTACTTTACTTCTGAGGCCTTGAAGCAAAACAGATCTACAGCAAAGGAGTCTTCTTGAGCTGCAGCGCTCCATGCATATGACTCCCCTGATGCATTAAATTGAGATTAGCTGTTTAGTCTGCTGATATGCTGCCTGCTTGAGGAGATTTGGTTCATCTTAACATAATTAGAAGCACTGCCGCTTGTTTTATCAGAAGGAAATAGGAGAGCGTCAGTGAGCAATCAGCTTCATGATCATTTAAAGGCTGCTTCTATCTTAATTCCTCATAATTTTATTCTTTTATGAGCGTTCAAGTTTTGTCCTTACATAACATTTTAGTGTCTTGACTGGCCCAGTGTCAGAGGTTCGTCAGCGATAAACACCTGCCTGCCCTGCACCACCTGATTTACAGCATTGGCAGCTGGCTAATGAATAAACTGAAGCTTCTTCTTTAAATAAGGAGCCAAATATTCCCCCAAGGAACAGATGGAGACCAAACCCAGTTACTTAAAGGGTAGCTGGTAAAAAAATGCTAATTGTCTCCTTATCTAAATATGATAATGTAGGGTTAGCTTTGGTGTTGGCCTCACTTTGCTGTCTGGTTACATTAAAGCCAATGGTAGACTTTTGGAAGTGACTTGATTCTGCTAAAAATGAATATAAGCCATTTATCTGGTTAAAAAAAGGACATAATTTTCACACATAATAAAAGCTGAGTTCATAAACCTTATTCTGACACAAAATTTACGATACTGAGCTACTTTCTATTAAAGCAGCTAAAAAACAAACAAAGTATTTATTAGTAAATATAGAAATATTTATCTTTATTTTTAACTGACATGAATTATTTTGTCAATGACCATGTTAATTCACACATACAGCTAAGCTGAAGTAAATCAATCATTCATCATTGATTGAATTCCCTAATAAAACGTTTAGGTTAAACATTTGATTGGCACAGAAGTAGCTTTGATCTTTATAATAGAAACTTATCCCAAGTTAAATGTTGTAGTCAGTTGCAAAATGGAGTCCATCAACGACCCCAAATCAGCTAAGATTTGATCCATTAGATAAGGAATCGGATGATATGTTACCTACTGTAAATTCAATTGCAAACAAGTTAATAAGTTAAGTTAAAAAGATAGAAAGCAAAGTGAAAAGTTTGAAAAGTTAAGTCAAAAAGTTGATAAGCGAAGTTAAAAAGTAAAAGAAATGAAGTGTCTGTATCAGCATTAATGTTTTAATGTTATATTGTAACAAAGGATGTGTTTTTTTGTCAACTGACATCTATTTTTTAAATGTTACAAAAGTATTAACCCTTTATAGGGCATGTTAGCATTTTTGATCACTTCCATACCCCTAACAATCGGAGTCCCCCCCCGTCCCATGGGGAGTTCTAGAAGCACTAGATCTATATCCAGCCATTCAGTGAAGATGCTGCTACATGGCTCTAAATCTTAGTTTGGCATTTGACCAATTAGATTAGCCCTTGAATGATATATTACCTACTGTAAATTAAGTTGAAAAAAAGTAAAGAAAAAAAGGTACAAATCTAATGGAAAAGTTAAAAAATAATAAGCCTAGTTAACAATAATATTTAGGTTTATAAAATAAAAAAATGTTAGTGTCAGTATCAGCATTAATGCCTCTAGTTAATGTCGTATCAAAAAAAAAAGTGTTTTTTTCACTCTCAGAGTGTTTTTCTTATAGAAGCACTTTTGTTATTTTTCTTATCATATTCGGGCAAGTTGGCGTTTCTTGTTATTACTTTTTGTCATTGAAATATCCATATTTTTTGAATGACACAAAGGTAATAAGGTCTAGTCCTGGATTCCAATTACACTCTTGGCATTAAAATGTTGATTTTCAGAGTATTTCACTGAGTTCAATTCAATTCAATTCAATTCAGTTTATTTATATAGCGCCAAATTCACAACACATGTCATCTCAAGGCACTTTACAGTTCAACCAGATCATACAGTCAAATTGATACAAAGTTTTCTATCTAAGGAAAACCAGTTGATTGCATTGACTCATTGACTCAAATACAATCCCCCACACTAAGCATGCTTGTAGCGACAGTGGAGAGGAAAAACTCCCTTTTAACAGGAAGAAACCTCCAGCAGAACCAGGCTCAGTGTGAGCGGCCATCTGCCGAGGCCGACTGGGGTTCAAGGAGACAGAAGCAGAGATACAAAAAGCAGCTGTAAAAGGCGGCCCCGTCCAGTCCAAGTTCCTTATGAAGAATTAAGTTTCTTGTTGACAATCCCTTTAGGACAACTTCTCTATAGAAAATCTAGTCACATGTGTTGTTAAGGTTTGACTTGATCCACTGTTTCACATGAACTGTCTTGAAGGTTCTGTTGCTTCATCTCTAAGAACTCTGACCCAGTCGACTGATTTTAAAGTCTTTCCACAGACGTTTCAGTCAGTGTATGGGGCCATTTCTTTGGGTTTCTCTAAAAACCAGGAAAACCCCCCAAAACATTCAACGTTTAATGATGAGACTTACAATGCATCATGGAATAGTTTACCTGTAATAGGTCATGTGCTTCCAATATTTTTGGGAGATTTTGGACAAAAAAGAGTGATTTTCTACAAAGGAAATGTTATGGGATGTGAAGAAAAGTATTTTTGTATTTTGAAGCTCAAATCAGTGTCAGAGTTAAGGCATCAACACTTTATTTTCTCCAGTTTTCAAGTTTTCCTCTTATTTCTTTTTATCTCATGACAATAACTCTGTTAATTGTAACACAGACATTTTGCAAATTGAGATTTTCTGCTGAATATGCATCCGCTGTCAAAAAAAAGAAGTTTGTAGTGAGAAAACAATTTGTTCACTTCCTAAAAAAGTAGATTATGCGAAAAAATATTTCAGCTGACTTGAAAAAAGTGAAATATAAATAAAATTAAAATGGGTATTTTGAGGTGAAGACAGTCAACCTGAGACAGTAAATTCAGATATGTCATACAGCAGACTGATAAGGTTGTTTTCATTAAAAAAAGCCCTTTCCAGCAGATTTTCAGCAGCCGCTCTAGCAGGTTACAGCATCAAAGTGTAACCACTTTGTTCAGAGGAGAGATGGCGGTGATAAGGACAGCACTTGCAGGTGAAAAGAGTTAGTATGTTTAAGGCTTGCATGTTTGCTCCATTCTTGTGTGGGTTTCCCCATGTCCTCTGATTACCTCTCTCTTTCTGAAAAACATGTTTTGTCCACTGGAGATTTTAGATTACCTTTAAGGGTTGATTATGACATATATGTGTCATGTGTTGTGTTGTGGCGAGCCGGTCCCCTGTTTTTAGGCTACCTTCCACCGTGCCTGAGTGTGCATTCACACCAAACATGAATGCAGTGCAATGAGCAACTGATTTATCTGTTCTCACTAATGTAAAGGCTCGTTCATGAGTGAATTAACTGCATTAGAAGAAGCGGATGAGGGCATGGAGCGCGTCGGATGGACCGAAACAAGGTTTATCTTGTGTTAAAAAATGTTGTACGTTAACCAATCAGGGACTGGATGTAGTTGTGATGGGAGACAAAAACCCACTGGAGGTTGGTTCGTCCAACTGCCTCTTCACAGCAGCTCCTTCTTATAAGTCCTGAACAGATGGATATAACACTGGAAGCAGCAGCTCAGAAGGAACAGGGTATACTGGTCGAACTGGGAGCTGATCTGTTGGACTCCTCAACAACGTTGGTCAGCTTTCCCGACCATATACAGAACTGTCACCTCGTAAAATCCAGGTCCGACAAAGTTAAACAGGCAGGAATCTGCAAGTGGATTGCAGAGAGAGAGGAAAGATATCCAGCGACCAACAGCAGGCTCAACATTTATTGTGAACCACTTTCACAATCACCTGTCAGATGCAGATGTTAGAGCAGGAAGCCAATAGATCACAGGTGTCAAACTGGTTCCAGACAGGGCCGTGTGGCTGCAGGTTTTCTTTCCAACCAAACAAAAGCACAACATACTCCATTCATATCATGAAGTCATCATGTTCAGATTGGACTCCCTTGATGAGATGACTGGAGTCCGGTGTGCTGCTGCTTGGTTGGAAAGAAACCTGCAGCCAGACAACCCTTTCTGCAACCAGTTTGACAGCCCTGCAATAGATGGATGGATATTGACATGACAATTCTGCCAAAGCATTGAGCTGGACAGGAAATGTGATTAAAAAAGGAACAGATGGAAGGCAAAGAAAGACGTCTTCGTATAGTGTATCTGTAAAACACAAGTATGGCTTTTGGCAACAAGCATATTTAAAGCTGCAATGATTAGTGCTACATGCTGGCACAGTTTCTAGCACTGTTGCCTTGCAGGATGAAGGTCTTGGTTTCAATTCCTTTCTGCATTGAGTTTGCATGTTCTCCCTGTGCAGGTCGGGGTTCCCTCCAGGTACTCTGGTTTCCTCCCAAACATAGCAGTCTACCTGGCATCTCTAAGCTGCCCATGTGTATGTTTGTACGTGTTAAACTGTAATCGATTGGTGACCGGTCTAGTTTGCACCCATCCTTTTCCCCACAGTCCGCTGGAGAACAGCAATGGCTCTCTGATGGATAAAACAAAAGACAAGGGACGAAGTAACCATGACCACAACAGATGCACAGACACAGTTT